TCCAGCGGGGTTGTCGGGCTGCTCTTGAGGGGCGGGAACAGGAGCAGGATGTGCCTGGACACTACCATCCTGGGCCATCGTGAAGTACTCTCGAGCCGGATCGAGAGAAGACGACGCAACGCCTTCGAAAAACTTTCCGAAGGAATTCTCCGAAAGTATGACCTCCCTAAGCTGGAGGAATCTCATCCCTTCAGTCAATCCTATATTGACCTCGTTGAAGCCAATATCCGCATCCATGACCATGATGAACTCGGACTGATTCTGGCCATATTCAGACCAGTGGTTGTAAGGCCCTGCGTTCCCTTTCGGCCAAACGGGCAGCCAAACGTGGCCAAACGCCAAATCCTGCTTCTCGGCAGGAACTAACTCTTCCGTCCACGCCATGTTGTTGACGAAGACCTTGACCATATCGCCGTTCCCGTTTCGGTGAAATGTAACAATGCCATGACTGGAGGGGGCTTGGCGGGACTGGAATTGGGCTTTGGCCTTCTGATTGGCCCTCTCCATGTCTGCTATGGCAGCCGCCCTGTCCTCGGCGCTTGCGCACTTGTTCTTGTCCCAGTAGCCGGGCATGCTGAATTGCTGTTAGGATTGTTTTGGGTTTATGAGGTACTAGTTGTAGCTCACTTGAAGGTGGAAGGTAAAGTACTTGACTTTACTTTTGTGTTGGTGATGGTGGTTGTAGTAGTGGTTGTAGTAGTGTGTTGGTAGCAGAGGTGGTGATGGTGTTGTATGTCTTGAAGGTAAGTTCGAAGACAATCTTGATATCTAACTTGGTATGTGTAGAGTCAAGAGTCGGATATCTGCTAAAGAAAAGAAAGAGAAGGAAAGAGAGGAATGCGCTGCGTTTTATAAGAACGAAGGCGCAACAGGACCACACAATGGTTATGAGTCTTCAGCAAGACATTATTAACGGAAAAAAGAGATACTATGGAGCGACCAACATATGAGCACCAGAACCATGTCACGAACACCAACACTGGCAGCTGAGTCGCTGCTATGATTGTGAGAGGACGGTCACCAATAGCAAAATCAGACGTAACCTTGGAAGAGCTGAGGGTATTGTCACTACAGAGTCATCTTTCGCGGCCAACTCTCCCGACACCAGTATGGATGCCTATGTTTCCACACATATTGGTCACAGGGACGACTGAAATGTCTTTGTGCGAAAGCAGCCACTGAATCTAAGCGACTGAGTCTTGCTCTTTCGCGGGATTCGAGCCGAACCGACACCATTATTCAGCGATTACAACGCGACAAAGTCACGTATCACGTTCAATCCATTCAAATCGCGCTCTCAGTATGCCCAAAGCTACATTCAGCGCTCGAAAAGCTAGACAAGATACGCCATATCGACTCCCATCATCCGTCACACACACGCATATGCGAAATTCCAGAAGCCATTCACCCGAATACTGAATATCGAAAAGCACATGACACGACCCAAAGACCAGGTTACCATGGCCAGACGAGAAGTAGCAATGCCCTCCTCTGCACCATGGATGCCCAGTGAAGCTCTGGAAAGCATAGGGCAGAGTGCACGGACACTGTTTTGAGAAACCATGGATGCTATGGGTTCGGTGGCAGTGCTATGAGTCTTGCGGAGTTTTTGGCCGGGTGGTAAAAAGCGTGTCACGGGATGGGAGAGGATGGAAGGGGCGTCGGCGCGCATATTTGATTTTGTGAATGTGTGAGTGGGTGTATGTGGGAAACCGCTTGGGCTGGAAGAGCAACGAGAGGAGTAAGCGGCTTTGGCTGGCTCGCAGTGGTGCCTGGCTTTCCTTTGCGCTTTGGGGAAGGTATCGTGCTCTTTGTGGGATATTAGTAGCATCGCTAATGGCAGATGGTCAGGACGCGATCTATACATTTACACAATCGGGTCTCTTGTTGCGAGGAGTCGAGTCGATGCCTGACAAAGCCTTGATGAGTCGGCTTGCTACTTCACCATGCTGTTGTGATGTAATGCTTATGACAATGTCGCATTCTGCCCGGGCAGCCACGAAGTAGAAAACGCTTCATCTCATCACACAGAGCCTACAGAGTATGATGTCGTATGGCCAATGCAGAGTACAATGTTGTATAGTTAATGCATGCTATGTCTTTCGCTTTGCCTACAGGATGATCCACCCCTCTAGATACCGATACCGACCGCCGACACCGAAAAATGCACCCACTGTAAAGCCAACCACGCCAAACGCTACGCTAAGATGCAGTAGATCAAAACTAAATGGGTATCGTAACAAATGACACGGAAGAACAGCAACAAGAAACAATGCCGAAAATCTCATCACCTCCTAGCCGGTGGTGACAACAACCCGCTGCTAACCGACTCTCTCTTCAGATCTTCCTTCTCACCCAGCAGCGCCTTGACTCTCTCCACTCTCGTCACAGCCTTCTCCAAGCGATCCAGCCTGCCCATCTTCTCCCTGTCCCTGCGTTCCAGAGTCTCGACCCGCTCTTCTAGCTTAGCTCGTGCCCGTCGCTCTTCCGCTACCATCTCGTTGGCCTGACTAAACAATTGCACGCTCAGTTCTTCAATCTCGGAATCTACAGTCTGAACACGTGCTTCTGCCTTGGCGCGTAGGGCACGCTCGCGCTCGAGCTCGTTGAGTAAGGTGTAGTCGACCGGTGGTGCGTGAGATGGGTCTTTCGGTGGTGGAGGCGGTGGCATGCCGCCTGTATTCGCTGGCGACGGGAAGCGACTTGTGATGAAGGAGAAGCGGGAGGCCTTTGTGGAGTTTGCGGTTGTGGGACGTGGGGGATCGGCGTCGACGGAGGGGCGCGAGGATGGGTTGGGGATGTCGGATTGTGAGGTTTGGGTTCGGGGCAGTTTAGGGGCGTTTTGTGTCGCTTGGAGGCTGCGGATTTGGTCTTCGTAGTCGGCGCATCTGTCGACTAGACGATGTTAGTATGTGTGGGCTCGGGTGTGATATGACGTCGGACGCATAATGGGGGCGTACCAGCTGCTGTAGCCTTCTCCTTCAGGCGCTCCATTTGCGCCTCGAGCTCCTCTATCCTTTGCCTCGCGTCTTGCAGCTCGGCCATATCTATGCTACTGCCACACGACGGGCAACTGGGGGTATGCGCCTCGTTTGGGGCGTGTTTCGACGGCACTGGAGGCGCTGGCGGCGATGCTTCGATGCTCGCTGCCATAACTGCGCCGGTGACCTAGGTTTCGAGTTCGTAGTAGTAATGTTTTGCTATCGCCGGTGGCAGTCGTGCGTGGTCTGAAGAATAAAGGGAGATTGTGGGGTTTGGGTCGTGGTCGTGATGACGGAAACTTGCTGGGTTTCAGGTGATCGGCACCTGTCTTCGTCATGCAGGGATCACGCGCGTGCGGGCGCTATGTCCATATCTGGACTGACGTGTTCAACTTTATCTGACAGTGTCCACTTCGCGCGGATCACTTTGCTTTTGGTCTCGTTCAAGGGTCTCACGCAATACAGAAGAGGATGCAGCTGTAAGTTCTCGGGTCTTGTTACTATCTTGACTAAGGCTAGGCTTCAGTCTACGCGAAAGCGGCCTTGTTCTGTTTGACCCAGTCCTCCAGCTTCGTCGGCTCCCGCTCCGTGTACTTTTTCACGTTCTCCACGGCGTCCTTGTAGATTTTGCCATAATCATCCTTCCCGGCGTCACTCTCCCGCATTCCCCGCGCCAGTGTGTCGAGTATAGGTTTAGGCATGTGCACCAGCTTCTTGAACCACCTCTCCTCGTCAATCTCCTTGACTTTGATCTCCTTCCCCAATGCTTTGCCAATCACAGCCATACCCTCACGCTGGGTCAGAAGTTCAGGGCCACACAGATAGATCGACTGCCCCGCTTCTTTCTGGAATCGTGGCTCTGCGAGAAGTGTGCCACACACAGTGCCGATATCTGAGGGAGCGAGGTAATCGAACCGCACGTTGGGGTACAGGAGCTCGACCTCGCCCTGCTTGATGTCTGCGGTGTACCAGAAAACGTTGCTGCTGAAGTATGCGGGTCGGACGGCGGTGTATGAGACGCCAGTCTCCCGCAATGCGCTTTCAGCTGCGGAGTGGAGAGCGCCAATCATATCCGTCTTGTTGGCTTCTGAGTCCAGAGGATCTTCGACCTTGAACGAAGATAAGAGGACAATGTAGGTTACACCGGCCTCTTTGAGCGCTTCGAAAGTGCTTCGCATGCCGTCTTGGACCTCATGTACGACGTATACGAAAGCTGTCTTGGCACCAGAGGTCTTGACCGCGGTCTTGAGGGTCTCGGGCTTGGCCAGATCAGCTTGAACGCGGACAAAGCTGTCACTGTTTCCCTCTTCCTGGATGCCTTTCAATGGCTTCTTCGTGTCGCGCATGGCGAGGTACACTTTGGCACCACGCTTGTGTGCTTCATTGGCAGCGGCGCTGCCTACTGCTCCAGTCGGGCCGAAAACGAGAACGGGAGAAGTCATGGTAATTGTGGAATATGGCCGGAGTACTCTGAGTTGATATGAATGTATTGAAGGTTTTGTTCCGTCTCTGTATGCGATATCGAGTTGCTTTATCTACTGTTCGCCAAAAGAAATCGCTGGTTGCCTTCTCGGCTTCCGCGGCACGCGCTAACGGCCTCTCGGTTTCTCGGTATACCAATGCTGTTCGGAACAAGGCTGCGCTACCACTTATGTCGCTACGTGCATATCTTAACACCCACAAGGGTCTGTTTAATCGCTATCCTCGCACCTCCTCGCTGTCCGGTGAGGTCGAGAACACGACGGTCGGGACCCCGAGGTCGCCGTGGATGACGTCATAGATATCAACATCTCCTTCAATCGTGTGCTGCACTGCGCGACGTGAAGATCGTCCGCACTAAAGCGTGACATCCACCTGGACCTGTCTGTAGAATCTCGGCCATACTCTTACTCCTTCGCGAGTTTACTCAAACTATCGCAATACTGCCACGGAGACCGACGCGCATTAGTGACAATTTCCCGATTACTGAACCATGGATACTCTTGAAACGCTACGGAGAGACAGCTAAGCCTAAGAGGCTCACTGAAGCTGGCCGTACATGTTATGTACCCGATCTGGGACCTGCACGTTGCTCCTGTTCTCACTATGTATCTCATGTACGATCGTTCTCGTTATTTCGCGCTTTCCAGGCAGCTCAGAATCGTCCAGTATGCACTTCTCACTATCTCCATCATCGAGGTCGTCTCTTTGGAATCGCGAACGACCTCTCGTTGGTCGGCTGCCGACGGTAGGTGGTGGTCCAACGTTATACAGTGGTATGCCGTTGCTACCAGACCCCGTCTTGGATCCCATTCCCAGAAAGGTCGACGAGAGAATGCGGCGGAAGAAGCCGTCGAATTGCTTTCGGAGTGCGGGTAGAGACGCGACAAGTATACCGACCGAGAGTTCCGATGCGGACCAGATGGCGAGGTTGACACCGTCCCATGTTGGATCGGCTGTCTTCATCAACGCGGAAAGCTCAATGGTCTTTGCAACTGAACAAGCGGTTGCACTGATGGCTGGCTCAGTTGATGTCAATGCAAATTTGGAGGGTACTCACATAAGGCCGAGACAGAACACGATACGCAGACCCCATTGCGTACGCCTTGGTAACTGGATGGTGGACAAGTATATGATGGGTGCGACGACGTATATCACGTCAGTGACACAGTTGGCAACTCCCTGTTTTTTCATCAGCTGGCTACACCAACAAAGCAAACATAGAGAGGACTGACTTGACTGTACGTGAGAGGCGAGCTGGTCTTTATGAAGCACTTCCCTTTGATGGATTTATTCCAATTTGCTTCAAACGGTGTACTGCAAAAGCAGCCCATGATGGGCAGCATCAGATTGAACGTAGTGACCATCAGGATCGAAGCCCACACCACCGCGAGGTACACTCTTGAGAATTTAAGGGCTAGAAGGTAGCCACAAATCGAGTACTTTAGCGTTGCAACTGCAATAAGGTTTAGGATCTGTGTGATCCAGAGGTAGTACATGTAGTTCAGCATGTCGTAGGGCATTTTGATGCTAGGATCCCGAATATGACGACCCAGACCATGCTGACATGTTTTAAAGCGGATTCCCGACGCTGCGACGTTTAGCATCTGGGCCCAGACTAGTCAGCATAATCTTGCCTCCTTGATAAAGCTACTGGTTTGACGAACTGCTGCAATGATGAGAAGGTAATCGTGTAGTACAAGCTTCCGCTTAGCCCTGATACTATACACAAGTCGCCATACGAGTACCGCAGTACTCAATATGCACAAAATAGTCGAGGGAATTAGGAAGACGGGCGCACGGTTTGGCCATTCCTGCTGCTCGGTCGGTGCCATTGCAGATGCCGATTTGCGTAGATGCAGTGCGAACCCGGAGGGAGGGAGAAGCGATATCAGTTGGCAACGTGCGCAAGATGGCACTCTTTATTCCAGCCGTCTGCCCATCTGAATCTATTGGGTACCCCAGAATCTCGGGAGGGCCGCTGGAACGCCCCGTTCATGTTATCGGTTGGAGATCTCTTCGGAATAGTTCACACGAGCATGGCGTTTCACACCTGCCATCAGTAGCAGGGAACCCCCAGCGTCTACTCCGCTCTCCGCTTCCAGCTTCTCCGCAGTCTCTAGTCTCGTGCCAATATGTCGTAAGGACTATACTATTCATGCACTTGTGCGGCATCACTGATTCCCTCTCGTCATCTATGCAAGAGGCTCAGGCTTGAGGTTGTGATGATGGGCATGAGACCTCTACACACAACAGACATGATGGTATCAGCATGCGCTCCAAGATATAGTAAGCCGCAGCATACTTGAAGTCAGTTGCTTGCTGCTGGCCAACCATCCAACCATCAGTCTTAATGCTGACTATGCCAACCCAACAATACACGAGTCTGGATACGATCGTGTTGGGACCTATGGATTGGTCTGGCATCTTGAAATCCTTCGAGGCGCACATTGCAAATAAATGTGATAGCTATGCATGCTAAGAGCCACAGAGCTGGGTATGAACCGTGCCCGTGTGGCTAGCATCTCTTGGGCTTCGTCACCCCATCGGGTGTAAGCGAAAGCTGGAAAGATCAGTTCGCAAAGACGGTTCCGCAAAGCTGCAGTGATATAGATACATCTCTTGCGTACTGTATCGCGCTATACGTGTTTCTTCCCTTCATGTTTGTACCTTGAAGCGTGGTTCTTGGCATGCTTCGGCCAACCAATACTTGTCATGTGCTCCAGGACCAGAACGCAGCCCTTGTCGTTCATTGCATACCCCAAAATCGTAGACTTCGCAAGCGTGCAAGCGAGGCTCGGGGCGTCGGCTGGTGAGCCAATTAAGGTCCCGCCGTCCCGTCCCATCCCGCGACGATGCTGACTGCCCAACAGGCGAAAGAGGATTCGTGACCTGCATCAGCCAGCCGGTTAAAATTGTGTGCTGACAGCTGTTGGCATTTGATGAGGAAGATGTTAGAGACCCCTCACGTATAGAGTTAACACAGGGCGTAACGGGTGAGAGAAGTTCTCGTAGAGCCGGCGGTCCACAACGGTGGACCCTTCCGACTTGGCAGCAGCGGCGCCGCAATATGTGTAAACCACGACCCTGCTCGTACTACCGGTATGTTAGGAGTCGCCACAACGCTGCTTCCAACTTGAACATCTCAATGCTGCTCGGAAGTCGGTAAAAGCGTAAAGACGTTGCAAGAAGATCGATCTCGCCCGTCAAGAGCCTGGAAAGGCAAACGAGAACCTATAGTGGTCAGCAAAACTTACTAGGATCGTCTGCGCTCAAAGGTGTCCTCCAGTATCAAAGAATCAGAGTTAGGCAGGGGAGCGGCGTTGGTGTGGGTGGGGTGACTTCCTGAATGCGGGACAATGCCGAGCCGTCTAGCCAAGATCGCCTAATCTCGGGGCCATGCTGTTTCTATCAATCTTCAATCTTGCGCCATGCAATTGCAAGGACCTGATATGCCGCTTGAATTCAGGACCCGTTGGCCAGATCTACTGCTCACTGCTAACTGTATCGGAGCTTTGTTGCCGACCTTAGCCACAACGGTGTACCGACTCGTGTATCCATACAACTCATGCACGCTCAGGTACCGCAAAAGTGCTAAGAGCTAATACGGGGCTTTGTGGAGAGTTTAAGAGCTCAAGAGTTCCCCTTCTTCCTCTCCCGGCGCATTCCACCCTCGTCAAAGTCAATCTCTTCCTGTGGTACCGCCTCGAAGCAGCTCGCCAGGATGCTTTACCCTAGGAACTTAGCCGTCGTTGCTTTGCTGGGGCTGTCAGCCGCCCAGGAAACTTACGACTATGTTATTGTTGGAGGGGGTGTGACCGGTCTCGTCGTGGCCAATCGTCTGACCGAGGACAAGAACAGTGAGACTGACCAACCAATCTAGAGTTACACAAAGCTGACATGCTGATCGTACAGAATCCGTACTTGTCGTTGAAGCCGGAAGAGCAGACGACAACCCAAACATCCGCATGCCTTATGGCGCCACATATGCTCTCAATACCTCTCTTCTGTGGACAGACTACGTGTGCCAGCCAGAACCATTCCTCGGGAATAAGACATGGAACACTCGTGTCGCGCGGATTCTCGGAGGCGGGTCTCTCGTCAACGGAATGATATATGATCGCGGATCAGCGGCAGACTACGATGCCTGGGAGGCGTTGGGCAACAAGGGTTGGGGATGGGAGGGGATCTACCCGTTTTTCAAGATGGGAACAGAATACATCCCAGCTCCACAGGAGACTATTGATCAAGTCGGTGTTACTTGGGACCCCGAGGCGTAAGTCAGCGAAACATTGCCCGTCTGAGCAGCTTCTAACGTTAGTAACGTCCAGCTACGGAAAAGGCCCATTGAAGATAGGCGTCACGGACACACTATACTCCGATATCACTGACTTTTTCGACGCCTTCGAAGGCACCGGTAACGCGCATGCCGCTCGCGATGGGAACAACGGCGAGGCATATGGTACCTCATGGTACCCTAATACCATGAACCCTAGGACTGGTGAAAGAACGCACGCCCGTAACTCGTACTATGATCCAATCATGAGCCGGTCGAACTTGAAGGTCATACTGGAGTCTCTCGCGACTGAACTCGTGTTCGACGGAAATAGAACCCTCACGGCGAAGGGCGTAAAGATTACCGACAAGAAGACTGGCTCGACAAAGACCTACTATGCGAAGCAAGAGGTCATCTTAGCTGCGGTAAGTAGAACGTCAAGCTGCCTGCAGAGTTGCGCAAATACTGACTTGACATTATCGCTTCCAGGGTGCCGTAAACACACCAAAGCTTCTCCAGAACAGCGGCATCGGACCAAAAGCCGCACTCGAGGCTGCTGGTATCACCGTAAAGCTTGAACATGACGGCGTGGGTTCGAATTTCCAAGACCATCCGTATACTGGCGTTGGGTGGAATGTCACCGGTGGAAGCACCCCGAACGGGTTTTCCTTGACCACAGACCCGGCGTACAATGCTTCAGCGTGGGAAGAGTACCGTGCCAACAAGACTGGACCGCTGACTCAAGCTCGTGGTAACAGTCTAGCTATGATGCCGCTTCCGGTAGTGGATCCCGAGAACTACGACAGTATCGCGGACCGGGTGCTTGCCCAGGAGAATGACGCGCATTTGCCGTCGATCTACAAAAACAATGCGAAGCTGCTCAAGGGCGTCGCAGCACAGCGCAAAGTTCTCGCTGACATCTTCCAAAACGAAAAGGCCGCTGTAGTAGAGTACCCTGTCCCATCCTCAGGTGGCTACATGCTCGTCGGCTTGGAGAAGCCGGTTTCTCGTGGCACCATCATGATCAACGCAACCAACCCTCAAGGACCACCACAAATCTTCTACAATGCGCTCAGCAATCCCATTGACAAAGCAGTTCTTGCTGCATGCGTCCGTTATATCCGTAAGGTCTGGGCGGGCCCTGAATTGGCGAAGTACACCCCGGTCGAGACGACGCCGGGAGCCCAGTACACGACTGATGATGAGATCATCAACAAGATGATTGAGCAGGGAAGCATTTGGCCGACACTTTCGCATCCATCCGGCAGCTGTGCTATGTTACCTGAGGATATGGGTGGTTGTGTGTCCGATGAGCTTCTCTTCTATGGCGTCGAGAAACTGTCCATCGTCGATGCTTCCATCCTCCCTCTTATTCCCTCCCAGCACATCCAGTCGACCATGTACGCTGTCGGCGAGAAGGCTGCGAGCATCATCAAGAGCCGTGGATGATGCGAAGCGCAAGCTGTTTATGTAAATAGTCTGCAGTCTAATAGACGAATGCGCGCATGATCTATGATTGGGCTTACTCGTCAGAGTGTGAGGTTGGCGCTACGCACTTGTTTAAAGCAAGCAGGAGTACCTCTATCAAATTATGCACACTAACGGTGATCGATGTGTTTCTCGATAGATGTATGGAGTGTATTACGATGCAGTCAACGGTAATGAGGATTGGGAGGTTTGGTGAGTAGAGAGAAGGTTGGCACCCCTGGACGCGTCACGCAACATACGCTAGTTTAGCGTGAACCATATTTGACTATGACGACGCGATGCGCCTCCTCACAACACGGAGGGAATGATATGGATTTGATTGTTGCTTTATCTGTAATAACTTGCCCGAAGGTCACTTCGATAGGTTCTTTGATCTCCTCACCGCGAACATCAGTGTGGCCGGTAGACATCTCCCGTACGTTCGTTATTCCAAGCCGACATGCTGCAATCGTCGTTAGACTGCTCATCATCAGACTGTTCTTCGTCGAAAGTCGCTGGGCCGGCATCTGGCAGCTCAGTGGAGGCGCCCAGTCTCTCTGCATATACTTTTACTTCATATCCGAGGTATACCAGAACAATGTCACCGGCTCTCTTCGTTGGCTCGCGGCTTCTTCGTGGTCATAGGGGCAATTTGATATGACTTTGATGTAACAAATGGCCTCCATGTCCGTCACCATGTAGGTCTTGGTCATCGTTTCTCCGCTCTAAGTCCCAGTCTTCTTTGGAAGCATTACGTCCTCGACCCGTTTCGGCGTTCGGGTGCTCGTGGTAGCGGTGATTAATGTTGCACGATCTTCTCCATGCTGAGTTCATGCTAGGTATACCGAAGCAAAGAAGTTGCGCAGGGCATTAACGTCAGGCAAAGCGCACAACAGTAGGCGATGTAGTGGCTCAGTGCCTGTTCCACTTCTGCTTTCTGCACCGGGGTGTGGCCTCCACTATCGTATATATAAGTAATTCCTACTCTTTTTCTTCGATTATACATTCTTTGATCCACTTCTCCGTTCCCATATTTGAGGCCGCGTTGATCCTAACTCATCCATGATGGCTTGGAGTTACGAAGGCCTGAGCCATACCGCGATGTCCTCCAGATTGGTATGAATGATCTCTAGCGTGGCCATGTCGAAACTCCAGCGCGACTGGATCATTGGGCTATATATAGATGAAGTGTCCGTATGTGCAACTGCGAAAGCTCAGCTTCGGACACAGTAGTCCATACGTCTGCCATCGAAGACCTCTGGCAATGGTTCCGTGGCTTCTAGCTTTCTCTTTCTGGCATGCTTCCGGACCGGGGATGATATCGAAGCAGGGCTCTGCTCGTGTATATAAGTAATTCCTGCTCTTTTCTTCGAGATGTACGAAGGGCTGCACGAAATCCAAGCAGATGTGCATGTAAGGCTCTGCGAGGACATCCACCGCCACACTGTTACAATAGTAATAAAGAAAACTGCTCAAGACAGAATCAGCCCAAACAAAATTATATATCGTTTGGTCGGCTTCTCCGTTTATAGATTGAGCATCGCGTTGACGGTGACATGCGCTCTCTGCACAACAAGCTTATTAAGATATATATAGATGAAGTGTCCGTATGTGTAATCACCATCGGAATCCGTAGTGCACGTGCGAAACCTCGACCTCGGACAGAGTACGCCTTAGACTTGCGATTGGAGCGTTCGAGCCATGTCCTCGATGTACGGATACCAACGTCTCCTAAAGTTGGAACAAGAACACACCTCATGTCTTCTCCTTCCGGTAGATAGACGATCGATGGTATGTCGCTTTGGTATGACCTGCCGGGATCCGTAGTTTGGGGCGCATGCGACAAGTGCGTGGCTCATAGTAGTCCATCCTGCGCGAGAGGTCCAGGTGACGTTTTCTTTCTCCCCGCCTAGTTGCCGGGGTCGTCCTTCTCAGCATGAGCTGTCGTAAACCACCGCTCGCCTGAACCACGACCAATCCCCAATTCGAGTGCGAGGCGCACTCTCTTCTTCGTCACTCATTATGGACAGCTGGGTTGTGGGTCTTTTTGCCGAAAGCGACCAGGAGTCTGATGACAAGGTAACCGGGGGTTGATGCGATTATTGCATCTTCCCAGGTCTCTCTGTGTCCATGCGTAGTGCGTATATATAGCGAGGAGTCGACTCGCAAAGACGGCAATCACATGACCATGAACATCCAGGCTCAGCCAAAGCTCCACATGGCTGCAAAGGTATAAGTATATATCTACCATCAGTTAGCAACATGAGTTACTCAGAGCCCGATGGAACTTACAACATGTAGCTGCAACCAGGGGACGAGCACATAAGGTTCTTCTGGTTTTGGTCATATACGAGATCGTTGCCACCTGTCTCGCACGTCCGCCATGGACGGTTTGGGAGTGGAAAGAAAAGGTCGTGGTCATGCGGCAATACAAAATAGACAGTTCACCGAAATGCATATTAGCATTCTGTGTTCCGCTCCACCCCCACCTGGTGAGAAAGTCCTTCAGTGTTCTCGCGTCGTCGAGTTGACTCGCCGACCATCTTTTGTGAGTGCGGCAATAATTCGGCTGGGTATACTTTGGACAAGCGCGAGTCGAGTTAGCAGTCGTTCTTCATCCTAAGAGTAGTGAGTACGGTGCCAAAGTCTCGTTAGATGAGAGAAGTTTGCATACCAGAGAGAAGGTTCGCAATGCACGAGATCCTACGGTGGAATAACCCCGGTCTGCTATATATAGAAGTACATGCCGATCAAGACCGAGCAGCATACCAGGGCTGAGCGAAGGGTGTTACAAGAGATTGTGCTTGTGCGTATATATACGAAGAACAAGATAGAGCCAAGTATATACGAAGGCGGTCGTTCCTGCTGGGCTTGCGGATGAACACCCAACAGGAACGGATGTCTTGATTTAGAGAAAGATGGGCCACATAGAGACGGTTCAGCGGTATTTAACTTCAGATTGACGGCTATGCGGTGTTCTCCGAGGCGGTGATGGTGTTTGTCTCTTCGATCGCGCGTTGAAGTTGCACGCGCGGGCAAGTGCGATGGCGGCTGCAGCCGCAACCCTCCTCACCATCGAAGCACCTGCCCGCCGAAGGCCAGGAACATTGCATGACCAGCCATCAAACATTTCGCGCTGCGCATCGTCACATTGTACATTTGGAAAACATCTTTGTGAAGACTTATTGCTACTACCGCATCGCGCATTACTCATACGTTTCCGACTGTTGTACAGGATCTTTGGCATTGACGCCTCTCTTCTCAGATCGTGGTATCATCCCACAGTACGCGCCTCGCTATGCATGTAAAAAGGACAAACTTTTGGAAAAGAACAACTTCACCGCCCACCCACACCGCCTCATATGCATCATCCACCACCCGTACCGTACGTACATGTTCAATACATGTCGTCATCAATCTCTCCTTCAGCGTCGATGTCCTCCTCTCCTTCGGCGTCCACGTCAGCATCCACCATCTCCACGTCCTCACTTGGCATGTTGATTGCCGCGGGAGTGTGTGTGGCGCTTGCCGCCGGGTCTGCAGCGGGCTCTTGCCCAATTCGTGGGGTCGCAGAGCGGGAAGCGGGTCTAGAATCCGATCCGTTCTCCTCTGCATGAGACTTTTCAGAGTTCAGGGCGCGGTGCATGATCCGGTACTGTTGTTTCGGGTTCTTGAGGATCTCGCGACTAGTACTCGTCTCCAGAGGGCCGACGTCTTGAACACTCGCAGCGCCTTCTTCATCAACAGGAGTCGCGTCAGTACCTACGGCCTTGCGCGCCTGTAGTGTCGAGAGCCTCAAGTTGTAATCGACGCGCCATCGCTGCTTCTCGTGGTTCTTCGCCTTGCGCTTGACATGCTCGCCAAACCAGTCACCTTCCGTGTCGCGCAGATGGTCGCCAAATGCAGCCCAGAAACCTGGTAGGGTAATGTAGCCGCCACCAATCGTCTTTTTGACTGCATTGACGGACTGGAGCCAGTCTAGAACATGTCCAACCTCGAAGAGCTCGGTAGTATGTTCAGGACAATGAGAGTGGATGTCGGTAGCAGTCGCACCAGCCAAGAAGATCAAAGGTTGTAGCACCAAGTTCAAGACCCGGTACCACCACGGCCACGTCACGGATTGGCCGTCGATACTGCTCCAAATGGGTAGTAGCGCGCCAGAATCGTTTTTGCCAGGCAGAGGCGGCTCAGGCAAGGCTGACCAAACTGTGGGTTCGGCATCATTCATGGGTGACGGTGGTGTCGTCAACGGCTGTAGTGGGTTGCCGAACTTATAGCTTTCTGTCGGCACAACGTGGATATCCCAGAACAACCGAGCACGGTCAATCGCGCGGTGGTTATAACCGCCTTCGCAGAAACCCCACTTGGATAGTTTCGGAAGTGCGGCGTCGAAGTCGCTGTTGACTGGCGGTAGCTGAGGTACAAGCTTGACGATACCCTCGTTCACCATAGTCATAATAGCCGCAAAGGCACCGTCGTCTTCGCAACGCGACATATTGTAGAACCCTGCATCCTCGTCGGCAAACGCAGCATCCATCTTTTTCTTAATTGCCACGGCGTTCATGAAGTCGTCGAGCTGGAACAGGCGTGTATACTTCTTCGCTAGAGCTTGCGTAAAGTTGTAGTTACGGCCGGGCAAGAGACGCTTGAGCTTGCGCATCCTGATATGCTGCTTGTCCACGAGATCACCTACGACGTTGACAAGTACAGCCTCGCCGAGATCCTTGAACTTTTCGTGAGCCAAGTTTGCGTTGTAGAGTGCTTGTGGGGTAGCCGTGTTTGCACGGATCCATGACCGTGCCTTGAGAAGCTTGTCGTCGGAGGACCAGGTTGCCTTTCGCGATCGATGGAGAGGAGCGGTGAAAGACTGTTGCAGTTGAAGCATTGTCCTCGTCCGATCTGCAGTTGCAGCTTTGTACCACAATACCCGATCCATAATCTCGTAGTTTGACTCATCGACATCGAACTGTTGCAGTGCTTGCCTCAAGACGGGAAGAGGAAGATCGGGATAGGCACACTTACGCATAGCCCATTGTATGAGGCCTGCCCAATCGTGTGTCTCTGGACTCTCGATAGAAGCAACTTTGCCGGCCTCATACGCTTCCAAGTAAAGTGACTGGAATGTTGTGGTGAGCTCACGGATTTGCTCAGCCATGTGCATCTGCATCCAGCTCCAAAGCTTCTTGGCCTTGGTCACGTCGAAGAACCTGTCGCTAGTATGTACGTTCTTGAAAAGGCACCAATCAATCTGCCGATCATTCCCAGATAGCGAAGAGACGACAACGAAGGTGTAGAAAAGCTTTTTGAAGTCGTCCAGCGTGTCAGCAGCCCGGGCATACTGTCGTTCCTCCTTGAACTTGTTGATACGTGTCCTCTTACGCTCGCGCCATGTCTGCACTGCTCTTCCAGGTCTAGGTGCACGCTGAGGAGGTTGGTAGATCGGATCGTTCGGATCGCCTGTCAGACCAGTAAGGCGTTCCAGCAGAGTGGGGGTAGGACCTGGCCTGCCTCGCTGCCGTCCACCGAAGTTCCTTATCCTTGGCTTCTTCGTGTTGAACGGCAAAGTATCGTTGTTGTCTTCTGGCTCATCTTCGTCCTCCGAGCCGGACTGCGCTTCACCATCTGTGCTGGAGTGGACGGTGGTTGCTACATCTGGCGCAGTCGTAGATGTTGCTAGAGAAATCCGAACCCTCTTCCTCGAGGACTGGTCGCGTGGAGCTGCGATCCGGACACGCTTCTTGCTCTTCTTCACATTAGCAGGTCCGTCTGTAGCCTGCTCACTAGAAGCCACAGCTCCAGTGGAATCAGGTTCGTCCGCTGTCACCCCTCCAGTAGAATCCTCTACGACGGGCGGTTCCACGGGCGGTAGGTCGCGCTCACTGACAGCATTGCTGGGCGCCTGTTGCGTGACCAAATCAGGCATTTCTTCATCGCTCTCATCGTCTTCAGGCGGCTCCTCATCAGACTGGTGCTCACGTTCCGGAACGGGTGCAACGATGGGACGCGTCCAAATGAGCGTTATCGGCCCGGACTTCGCGGCCGTAACAGCAGCAACTTCATCATCTGCCATATCGTCGGAGTCTTCGTCGAAAGCTCCCATGTTGGCGGTATACAAAGGAGCCCGACGCAACTTCTTGCTCTTGTCGTTCAAACTAGCCAGTCGTGCCCGCTTCGTGCGCGGTGCGCCGCTGCCGTCCGCGAGCTGTTTAGAAGACGCTTGTTCTACTTGAGCGTTCTGAGCCTTGCGGGCTTTGGCTTCTAGCCTCTTCTGCTTCGACCACACGCTACGCTTTCGAAGCTTAGCTTCAGTAATCTGCCTCTCGAGTTCAGGATTCAATTGGTTGAGGATAATGCTCTCGTCCTTGGGAGCGGGCTCAATCGGTTGGTGCGACACGACCTCGCCAATCAGATCACGAATCTCCTTTGGGTAATACAGGAGTGATTTCTCTGACCTACGGGCATTGTAATCTTTGACTTGGGAATATTGAGCCATGTTATGCGCCAACTTGAGGACTTCCGGGCTCCTTTCGTTCAGATGTGCCCATGTATACATCCTGCGAACGGCAGTCCCTGGCATGTTCTGGTGTTGCGAGGCAAAATTCCAATGTTTCAATCCGAACTTCGGGTCTACAGACATGTTCCTGAGCGTCTCGGTGATAGTGCTAGGAGAAGGCTTCGGGATGTTCGGGTGCCGCTCTTCCCAAAGCGTGAGAAACGGTCGTGGCATTTCACCGCCGCCTGGAAAAACACCGCCGCACATCTTGATGATCTCGAGAATGAGGTTCTGCCGCAACGTGCGTTGGGTTCCTGCAATGCCACCACGTTGTGCTTTCCTTGGTTTGGTGCCCGGGATAGTCGGTACTGGGGTCTCGACGATAGCGCTGTGAACCGCATTAGGCGGAGGAGCACCAGAATTGGCCTCGGGAACGGGAGCTGGCGACGACTGGGCTACCGGACTTGGACTGGCGGCATAAGGGCTCTGATACGGTGTCATAAGGGCGCGCTCGGTTGCATTGATGGCGGCCCAGCCGCCCACCATGCGAGGTGTTGGTACGATTGTCTGGGGCAGTTGTTTCCGTGCCGGCTTGGGTGAAACATCGCTAGGCTCTTCAACATTGGCGGAGCCTGTAGTTATAGCGGGGACAACGTCGTTGCTTCTAATGACCATTGCGTCTGGTACAGAAGATGTCGCTTCTTCTTTGTTGACTTCATTGCTGTCTTGTGACGGCTCGCTATCAAGTACGACCGACTGTCTAGCGGAGACAGATGACTCCCCATGGCTCAGAACATCCTTTTGCGTCTGTATCTCGATCGGTGACTGCGGTTGCATTGGAGAGGGTGACCGTGTTTGAGCCGGGGTCAAGTTTTGCGGGATGGTCTCCAGATGAGCGAGTGGCGCCTCAATATGCGGTTCTGATATAGTTTCGGCCAGAGTGCCTTGTGGTGGTTGAGTCGTCGCTCCATCTCGCTGGGTAACACTGGTCTGCATAGACTGGGGTGTTTGAGAACATTCAGCTTGAATTGCGTCTTGCTCCTGCTCCGATTCTGTTATAAACCAGTCGAGATCGGCTAGATGCGGTAGCTTGAAGGTGGCCATCAAGGCCTTGCGTGGTCGACCTCGCGCAACCTTCTGCTTCATATGAGGGTTGAGAAACAGACCCGGGGAGCATCGCTTGTCGTATTGATCAACCACACCCCGTGCTCGAGAGTCCAGTTTGGAGGCGTCGAGCGGAACGTATGTTCTCGTCAAAGGCCGGGCAATGTGTACTGTAGTTGACTGGCTCGAATGATCATCAGGACGGACAGGGGAAGCTGCGTTTCCGGGCGGACTTCCAACATCAGTGGGCGAGGGCGACATCGATGCCACAGTCCTTGATTCTGACCTCTGTGAAACTGTAGTTTTGGTGAGGCGTCTCTTCGACGTTCTTGGGGTAGCGACCACGTCCTTCGCCTTCCGCTTTCCGGTAACGGGCTCGGGCGAGACATGACCAGTCTCCGGCTCCGTGAGAGTAGGTCCAGGCACATAGTCAGCCTCGGGGTTCTCCATAGAGATGTCGATATCTTTGTCCCTGCAGGGTGAGGCTTGCTTTTTGGTGGATCCTGCGCCCTCTTCCTTCTTTCTCCTCGCCCTGTCCTTCATCTCGGCGTCCCAAATAGCAATGATCTTCGAGTTTTCCAAAGGAATGCCGTCCTTGCGCTCCTGGCGTAGACCATCAATGATATCGTCTGGTATCCGACCCTGACACGACCAACCCATAGCTATCCTTTGCTTGTTGCTGAGGACTGTAGGCTCGGTTGCCGACTTCGTCGTCCGTTTCTTCACCTTCTTCACCACCACAGGCAAACCGCGTTCCTCTCGAATTGCGTTCTCCACGCCCATTGGCATGCGCCCTTTTGGTGCTATGCCCTTCGCTATCCGCTCTTCTGCTGTCATTAACGGCTGAGCTAGTGGACGTTTTGCCGAACCGTGCTCAATGCTGTCGGGTATTGCTGACGGATCACCAGTCTTTTCGCGATGAGCAAGAATTTGGTTTTGAACATGTCTGCTTAGGCGAGCATGGCGATGCAGTCCCAGCTTGGTCTTCTGTTCGGGAGTGAGCGAGATGGTTGAAGGCGTCTTAGAAGCTTTAGCAGCCTTCGGTACCCTGGCGGGCTTGACTTTGACGGCTTTCTGTTTCTTGGACCGACCTGCTGTATCCGATGTTGTAGGTTTCAGCATTGAACTCGAGTGCTTCTGATAGCCGATCTGCTCTGCGACACCGTTATCCCAACGCGGGCCGTTCTTGCGAGGTTTCACAATGGCCAGACCAGCTTCAGATAGTGTTGCTGCACCAGTCTTTCGAACTAAGTCTTTGGCGCTGACGGCTGGGAAACCCCACGCGTTGAGTGACACCTCGCTCGCAGAGCTCTTCGCAGATTTTCCTGGCACCGAAACACCTTCCCAGACAGCGATTTCGTCATCGACGGCTTTCTGGAAATTCTCGTACGTGCGATAGAGGTAGTGAACGAACTTCTTGGCTTTGGTATTACCAGCATCTCGTATGACAGCCAAATGCCGCAGATGGAAAGGCTGTGTCTTCTCCCAGTCATTGGTCACACGGGTGAAATACGATTCAATGGGCCGTCTCCAAAAGGGCCCGACAATCCGGTTGCGTAAAACCTCAGCGTCCCAACCCTGCGCACCAGCCAGTGCAGCAGCATTGAAGATCATGTTCGGAAGAAAGCGGTCAGGCGTCCATTGCGGGGGAATGCTGACAGCTTGATCAGGAGCAGGCTGAGCATTAGCTCGGTCGCTGACATTGGCATCTGGATCGTCTGGCATGTCGTCATTGAGATCGTTCAACAACGAGTCGCCATCGATATCCTCATCGCGTAGCTCGCCCTTCGCATCCGTCGTGATAGGAGCTGTTCGACGGAAACCAAGGTTCCTGACGTCTTCGTCCTGTGGCGCGCGCATGACCTGAATGCATGTGATCCAAGCGTCGGCAGACTTCTTCTTACGAACTCTACGTCGCTTGATCATTCCTGTTTGATCCAGTCGGATAATTGCACCCTGGGTGGCGCGCTTGTTCCAGGATGACATTGGGACACCCTAGTAATGTTAGAACGCGACACATGATTATAAAGGCCGTACACTTACCAGCTTCTCCCTGATAGATCGCGTGGGAACGATGCCACCTTGGCCGACTTTGTTGTACAGGAGTTGAGCAAAGTTCCGGACCACAAACGTACCGTCCTCCTGATACACGTCCTCAACGGCACTAGACTCGATGAAGGTGTTCTGAGAGACGAATTTGTTGTGAATACAGAGGCTGGTGCGCATCTTGTTGGATTGTACAGAAATCTTGCTGATGTAGTTCTTGCGAGCTAACTCATCCGTCCTATGCGGAACAGACCTCTTATCCTGGCCACTGACGTTGATCAGTTCAGGCTGTGTGATGCCTGCCGATCCGCGGGCAGCAATGAGAGAGAGCAAGACAAACTCCATGGCGGGGACCTTCTTCAAGTCGATACCGTGGCCTGTCAACGCCTGCCATACCCTGCTCTGACTCGCATACAAACGAGGGGCAGTGATGTCAGGGCTGGGATCGTCAAAGACTGCTGTGGTACGATGCGGTCCATCTGGCAGGTTACGTCGCGGTCGTGACAATTTTGGATGGGTGGGAGTTTCGGACGACCGAGTGGAGAGGTCTTGCGGGTCATGTTGATCTCCGAGGATGTGTTGGCGCAGAGAGTCCCGCAAAGCAAAGAGAGATTTGGAAGGCTGCTCTACTGCTTTGATGGGATTATCGGAAGTTTGAAGTGAACCTGTTGCGGGTGTCTCGCCGATGGTACCAGTCTCGTGTAGCTCGGCCGCCTCGAACTCTGAGAGAGTGTATTGACGAACTTCCTGTTGGTAGACTATGCGGATATCAGGATGATCAGTGAGCCAATGCCACAGACGCTCATAGAACGTGCGGCCAGGTCCAACCGACGGAAGACGGCTGTCTCCATCATCAGACTTGGGTCCGCCGTTATCGACGCCTTGTTTGTAGAAAGTCTCTACGAAGTGACGGAAGTCTGCGCTAGTAGCACCTAGGACATGTCAGTGAATGAGACGATGGAGTAAATGACGAAAAGGCTGAAGCAAAGGGAAGACAGGGATCAAGGTGAAGCGAACGCGACACTCCCCCTTCCAAGCAGTCTGGTGTTGAAGCTCATAGAGGAGTGGAGTCGCTCAGATGAAGGCCAGTGCGCGAACGGAAGCAACGACTACACGCGCAACGAGTCATGCATACCTTGAATGCCGCGAAGTGCAATTTCTGACAGCAGAAATTCCAACAGCTTGTCAAAACCTGACGCCATATTGCTACCACCCGTCCCCCTTCAACTCCGGTAGTGTGATTGGGATTGCGATGACACGCGCTTAAGGCATGTCAAAAGTGGCGATGCGGCGATTCGAACGCGCACTGCGGGAGGATGCTGGGTAAGATCGCGCCGTGAGTGGCTGCAGCCGTTGTGGATCACTGCTGGGCGCAGGAGTCGGTGTATCCAGGATACCAAAAATTCCCAGCGCGCGCTTGGAGTAGTTTGCAGAAGTTGTCGATGTCGAGTTTCGAACGCGTGCAAAAAGTTGTCGAATCGGTAAATACTTTGGCAGCGTTTAGGTGGGGTTGGGAGCTGCAGAAAAGTGACTAAGAGAGGAAGAAACCTGCCCCGCGTCGCGCCTTGGCGGCTTGGTCCGCGCTCGCGCTAATCGAATAGGCAGGCACGCAGGCAAGTGCACTCACTTATCTGATAGTCGCCGTCCCGTCGTCCAGAGGAAGCCGCTGCTCTTTCAGGCGCACATACTGGTGCTACCCAAGATTTGGATGCATCTCCGCACAAACCCTAGCCAAATCAATACACATGTTCAGGGCCGACCTTAGTAAAAGATGATCTTTTGCAAGCACTAATAGCACTCCGACATGTCCTTCATCTCTCCCTTCGGTACATCAGCATCAAAACCTGGCCATGGATCCATAATCCTCGAAATTCTTCCTCCGGATACGCCTGTCCTTCGAACCGTGTCATATCAATATCCACTCAAGCTAGTCGCCCCAGATCCCCTAGCACCACCCAATTATGGCAGAGAAGCAGAGGATGCCACAGCAGCAGTCACCCCCTGTCTCATTCATACAGTGTTTCTGTTGACCTATGGTGGAGGTATCGTAGCCGGAGACAGTATAGACCTGGAAGTCAGACTGGACAGCAGTACACGGCTGATACTGTTGACGCAAGGGTCGACCAAGATCTTCAAGACCCCTACTCCAGAGCTAGTCTCACGACAACATATGAACATACATCTCAAGAACAATTCCGCCTTAGTCTATCTCCCCGATCCAGTGCAGCCTTTTGCCAACACGGCCTTTTCCCAGTCCCAGATCTATCACTTGGAGAAAGAGCAAGGTAATCTGTGTGTCTGCGACTGGGTCACAAGCGGCCGTTCCGCACGGGGAGAGAATTGGGACATTTACGAATATAAGAGCCGCAACGAGGTCTGGACCGTAGACGATGCCGGCAAAAGGAGACTGCTTCTACGGGACAACCTCATTCTAGACAAGCATGGGAAGACAGGGCTGCTACTCTCATCACGTATGGACAGCTATTCTGTCTTCGGCACCTTGATCGTTCGCGGCCCCATCTTTTCGTCACTGTCAAAGTTCTTCTTGGATGAGTTCGAGGCACTACCGCGTATTGGTGGGAGGAACTGGGGCGACGTGGTGCAGCCAGAGCTTCAAGCGCATGAGCAGAGGCGGTATGAGAGGCAGCAGAGAGAAAAGGTCGATGGGTTGATATGGAGTGCCGCGAACGTGAGGGGCTTTGTCCTGGTCAAGTTCGCCAGCAGGGAAGTTGAAGGCTCGAGGAACTGGCTGAGAGACATGATCAAGGAGGAAGGGTCGCTGTTGAATGCATTTGGGGAAAGGGCAATTTTGTGTTTGAAGTGAAGCTAGCATTCGAAGATACCCGAGACCACGTAGATGAATGGAAAAGCAGAACTGGTTGGATGTCGTGTCTTAATGTTGTTCGTCGAGCGACTCGCAGCCCCACGCGGCGTGTTGAAGGCCCAAGCACCCGGCGTCCCAAAAGTCGATGGGTGACGTGCATAGCCGCACCTGAACGCTCGTCCAGCCGCGCACCCACGTCCCCTACCTGACCCTATGCCCTACCACCGACCTGTCGTGGTCTCTTTGTCGTCAATATGAGCGGCAGGCTCGTCGCGGGCCGCCTTTCCACCATCGCACGCCGCTCACCGCTGCTCACTCCACGCTTCTACACGACGCACTCGCTGCCCGCCGGTGGCCTCCTCCGCAACCAAGCCGGCCTACGCCTGGTGAAGCGACGACCATGGCCACTGGGTAGCTATTCGCTGCACAACATCCCCGCCACACGCTCCATCTCCTTTGCGCGCGTCATACCGAAGCTGGTCGGCAAGTTTGCGACTGTAGGCGCCGCTGCAGGAGGGGCTGTCGTTGCAGGCGTCTCATATATTCAGTACCAAGCTGGCCGTATGTACATTCACGCTAACACTTTGACTGGCTCTAACGCAAACAGAGGCGGGAACATTCGCACTCGATCTCTTCCACCGAACCAAGGACGGCGCGACCGAATTTGCGGGCGGCGCACTCAGCACCGCAAATGGCTTCTTCGACCAGCTAGAAAAGGGCTTCAAGTCGACCAAGGACGAATTCGAGGGCGTGCAATACCCGGAATGGCTACAACGCCTGCTCGCCAAGGACGAATCTGGTGGTGGTGGCAGTAACGGTGGCGGCAGGGGCCCCGAAGAACCCAAGCAGAGCGGTGCTGGATCTGCTGCTGCCGGTGCATCAACAGCTGCAGCGTTCGGATATGCTCAGGAAGACGACGAGGACAGGCCGCAGGCGGAGAAGATCGCACGAGACGAGCAGATGATGATGCTCACCAAGAAGATGATTGAGATACGTGGGCTTCTGCAGACTGTTGGACAGTCCGACTCGCTCACGTTGCCCTCCATTGTTGTCATCGGCTCACAATCGTCCGGAAAGAGTTCGGTCTTGGAAGCCATCGTGGGCCACGAGTTTTTGCCCAAGGGACACAACATGGTTACGCGACGACCCATCGAGCTCACACTTGTCAACACACCAGATGCGCACGCAGAGTACTGCGAATTCCCTGCTCTCGGCTTGGGAAAGGTCACAGATTTCAGCCAGGTGCAGAAGACGTTGACAGACCTGAACCTGGCTGTACCAGCGAGCGACTGCGTCTCCGATGACCCTATCCAACTGCGCATCTACTCGCCAAATGTCCCCGATCTCTCCCTGATAGACCTGCCCGGCTACATCCAGGTCGTTGGCCGAGACCAGCCCCCGCAGCTGAAGGAAAAGATCTCGCAGCTTTGCGAGAAATACATCAAGGCACCCAATGTCATCCTCGCCATCTCCGCCGCCGACGTGGATCTGGCCAACAGCACGGCGCTGCGAGCGTCCCGACGCATGGACCCTCGAGGCGAGAGGACTATTGGTGTCATTACAAAGATGGACCTTGTGGATGCCGAACGCGGTGCCAGCCTTCTCAGCGACCAGAAGTATGCTCTGCGCCTGGGATACGTCGGTGTCGTGTGTCGGGTACCACCCGGTGCTGGTGGCTCCAAGCTCTTCAGCCGCGGCAACGGCAACATCACCAATGCGATTACAAAGAACGAAAAAGCGTACTTCTCTTCGCATCCCGAGTTTTCAGAAGGATCAGAGCTCGCCGTCGGTACCCAGAACCTCAAGAAGAAGCTCATGCATGTGCTCGAGCAGACCATGGCCGGCAGCCTTAAGACGACAAGCGAGGCTATCCAAAGGGAGCTCGAAGATGCCCGATACGAATACAAGGTCCAATACAACGAGCGACCTATCAGCGCAGAGTCATACCTTGCGGAATCATTAGATGGTTTCAAGCACTCCTTCCGTGGCTTTACCGAGCAGTTCGGCCGCCAACAAGTTCGTGATTTACTCAAGCACGAGCTCGACCAGCAGGTACTCAACCTGCTTGCACAGCGCTACTGGAACAGGCCTTTCGACGACCTTAGCGTTCCCTTCCCCGAGACCGACCCTCTCACGAACCTTGCCAAAGCTGATATTGATGGCGAAGATCAAATATGGCAGATCAAGCTCGACAGTTCCAGTGCTGCACTTACGAAATTGGGTGTCGGACGTCTAGCCACCAACGTTGTCGCAAGTGCGCTCCAAGCACACATCGACCGCCTCATCACCAACTCTCGTTTCGCCGCCCACCCCTTCGCCCGACAAGCCATTACCGACGCGTCCACCTCCATCCTCAAAGACCTCTCCTATGACATCTCCGACGAGTTGGAGATCTGCATCAAGCCCTACAAATACCGCATCGAAGTCGAGGACAACGAATGGGCAAAGGGTCGGGAAAATGTCACAGCTGTGCTCAAGGATGAGCTGAAGGTCGTCGAGGCTGCCGTAAAGCAGCTCGAAGAACAAGTTGGTGGCCGCAAGCGAGTCAGGGACGTAATGTCGTTCATTGACCGCGTACGAAGCGGACAAGTCGTTCTTGAAGGTGACGGAGTTGGCGGTGCCGGCGGCTTCAGCTCTGCACTCCTTGCTAAGGGTAAGTCTATCTCTCTTACCAATCTATCTCATCTGAACGCAACACTAACAATATTACAGGCCGGGAAGCAGTCTTCCTCCGAGACCGTATCGACGTGCTCAAACTACGCCTCCTCGCCATCAAGAGCAAGCAATGCGCCAGCAAGAAGAACAAATACCACTGCCCAGAAGTTTTCCTCGACGCCGTCGCAGACAAGCTTACAACAACTGCCGATCTGTTCCTTGACGCTGAGCTGCTAAGCAAATTCTACTACATTGTAAGCCATTGCCCCTCTCCTTACCCACACAACTTCCGCTAACACCCTCTAGTTCCCCCGTGAACTCGACGCCCGCCTAGGCCGCGGTCTCTCCCAAGAAGAAATCGACCGTTTCGCCAAAGAAGACCCCAAGATCAAACGCCATCTCGATGTCGTGCGTCGTAAGGACCTTCTCGAACACGTACTCAAGGAAATGGAGGGTCTGCGCCAACTCGAGCAAAGAGAGAAGCGCATGATGGGCCGCCGGGACGATAGGGATGAGCGGAGGAAGAAGGGCTGGAGTATGTTCTAGATGTAGGAATGACTGGATGACGACGGCCTTCGTGTTGGGTATAGACTGTATGGCGCTGTTGGCGTTTCGTGAAGCGGAAAAGAAGCTTCTTTGTTGATGTTGATGACGATGACTTCGCTACTCTCTTGTTGGTCTTATTGGATTGAGATTATGTATATATGATTTTCTGATCACACTGTTCCCGCTCATCCAGGTCGATACGCTGATGGCTGACGGTCGCTGTAAGGGAACATGTTGCATGTCGATGACGACTTAGGGATATGAGAAAGATGGTTGATTTCAACCTCATCTATCGGGTATCTTCAACTAGTGCCACCGAGAACTATAATGCTAGGTCCCCCACAAGAACAAACTCCTTCAGAACGCCATACATGCCACGTGAAATCGTATCTTCATCTTCCCTCCCCTCTTCTCAAGGGTCGGTGGTCTCAATCAACCGATCAGACCCCAGTGTCTCTTAACCCCCCAGTCCAACCTCGTCATACCCTGCAAATCATCTCCGTTCAAGTATCCCACGCCCTCCTCCACCAGCATCTTCCACACCCTGTTCCTCAATCCAATAGGAAACTTGGGCGCACTCCAGTAGCGCGACATCAACCCTCTCTCCTTTGCGCTTTGGATCTGAGCGCGGATCTTAAGGCGTTGAGCTTCGGTGATGCGACCGAACCAAAGTGTGCCGATTGAGTGGCCAAAGTTGACGGATGCGTAGTACGAGTTTGTGCTATCGAAATGGGAAGTGGGTGTTGTGCCGACTGTGCCCTGGCCGCCACGAGTGGTGACTGAACCTTCATCGAGCTTGTCCAAGGGAGCGTCGAAGAAGATGTCGCGGTAGGTTGAGTTTGCGGTGATGAGGTCGAAGGGGGCGTTGCCAGTTGCGACAACGGTGATCGCGCCTTCGATGGTGGTGTTGCCGTTGAAGTAGGTTAAGTAGCCCTTTTCGCGGAGTGCGCTGAGTTGTTGCGATACGACGGGGAAGATGTCGTGACCGTTGTTCTTGAAGTCGACTAGTAGGACCAGAGTCTGCGCAGGCTCGGTGTCGAAGATGCCGTTCTTGACGTTGGATGAAGTGGAAAAGTCTCCAAGCTCGTTCTTGTGGTCTAACATCTTGACCAATGGGTCGACGTACATGGACGTAAAGGTGCCATCTTGCGTTAGAGCGTTGGTGCTGTGACCAACGTACAGTTCCTCATCGAAGAGCCAAACATCTGCTTCGACGCCTGTGCAACCCCAGCGCAGGGCGTCGTACAATGGTACTCGGCGCCAGTAATCGTTGTGCGAGTGGCAAGGGACCGGAGTTACGTCGCGTGTTATATCTAAGAGCTGCGCCTTGTCTAACACACTCGAGTCGAACGACGAGACTACATAATCATCCAGAAAGGTAGGCACGTAGCCGAGAAATACGTTGACGATGTGAAGAACACCACTAATAGAGTCAGTATACTTATTCTTCTTTCTCCAGATCATGACAGGATGACAGCTGCATGTAGGGCAGGGGACTGTCGAATGAGAGGGTGGCCGCCGGAACGCGCGGAAGCTAAGGTCTGACAGGCACTTACAAGAAGATGAATACCAGCAGTGGTATTATAACACAGGCTTTAGCTGCATATTTCCTCTTCACTCGATACTTCTTCGACTGCGTCTTTTCATCCGGTAGCCTCACACGTCCACAGTCCTCGTCGGCCCGCAACTTTGCATTCCGTCTTCGAATGCTCATCCTCAGCCGGCGCCAGAACCCAGGTCGCGATACTATCTCCTCCTCGTCCGAAGCAAAGATGGAGCCGTTGCCATCTTCTAGCTCG